CTTTTTTTTTTTTTTTTTTTTTAAATAACTTTTGAGTGAGTTGTGTTCTGGGCCTGTGTTTCCCAGCTCTTCTCTGCAGGCTGGATCACTTGTTTCATTTAGATGAGAACTCAGACTGCCTATAATACAGCTGCAGCAGTGGGGGCTTTAGAAAAAACAGTAGGTAACAAAACAACAGTTTTGCCATCCCTTTTGGTCGTGCATCAGCCCTGTAAGGATGACATTTTTCTTTGCTGCATTTCTCTTGATTATAGCCAGAAATAGACAATAAAGAGTGATGTGGGGTTTTTTTGGAACAGGCAAGAAGTTTTGGTTTATGGGGGTTTTTGTCCAGCCTTATTCATTTGCCCATTAAACTAGCTCCTTTGGTGATAGTTAGGTCTATCTTCAGGTTTCTTTTTGTCATAGTATTGACGCAGTGTCTGGGTATAGCAGTGCTGGATGGCAGTGCTTTTGTGATTCTTCTGCTCCTCTCCATGTTTTGGTGAGTACCAATATGATAAAAAATTAGCAGCCAAAGGGGTGCCCAGGCCAGGGCTATTGCAACCATTTCTGAGAACTGATGGAGGTGCCATCGGTTAGATCAGACTCTTACAGCTTTCTATTAATTGCGTGCATCTGATGCTGGGACTGTCCAGGCTGGCAGCACCTGATGAGGACGTTAACGGTGCTAGAGGATGGCGATGGTTTTCAAGTGACCATTTTAATAAGTGCTTACAACCGGTTCTCAACAGACCTGGAGTAAGACCTGTTCCTTGACCTGGGTAGTTTATGCTGGAAGGCAGACAAGGCAGCGGTGTAGGAGAGAGGGCTTCTGGAGATTGCCCAGGCAGAATGCAAAGTAAGAAAATCCTGGGAATGGGGAGGCGAGAGCTCAGGAAGCAGAGACTGGTGGCTGTTTGGTAAGTGAAGCAGGAAGCAAGAGCATTATGAAGAGTTACCAAGTGCAGATGCATAGGGCTTGTTTGCAGGGGGACACTCTTAATGTATGTGTAGAGAAGGGTTAAACTACAGCCCCTTCACTCTGGAGCTGGGAGCAGCCACAGAGGGGTTTAAACAGCATTATGTGCCTTGACTTGCCCTTTAGTTGATTTGTCCTTCCTTGCCTGAGTGCCCCTGTGTAGGCCTGGGGGAGGGGGGAAGAGGTTGCGTAGGCCTTCAAAGGGGAGGTGCTTTTGTCTGCTGTGGGAACTTTGTGTGTGGGTGATTAAACGAGAGAGGGAAGTGGGTTTCATGGCTGTATTCTGAGTCCTGAGTCTGCAGAAGTGAGAAGCAGAGCAGACAGGCAGGAGGAGCTGACAATGACGGCAGTAAAGAGTGATCCAGATGCGCAAGAGGGGATGGTAAGCAAGACCGGTTACTTGGTACCTTCAACCTGACAGCTCTTCTCAGATCACACGCCTTCAGCACAGACTTGCAGCCCTTTTTCGGTGAGCAGCGGGTCAGCTGTCAGCGCACAGGTCTCTGCTGGGGGCTGGCAATTCAGCAGTAGAACTGCAGCCCCAAAGTCGGCCCCTTCTGAAAGATTCCCTGAGACTCTGAATGCCCCCTCCTAGCATTGAGACCCCTGCTGTCTTTCAGGAGACCTTGCTGTGCAAGAGGCAGCCCCGAAAGCATGGGATTCCTTGAGTATCTGTCTGGGAGGAAAAGGCACAGGTTGTTCCTGGTTCCTCAGGGCCAGATGAGCCTGCTTGGGGGTGGAGGGTGGGGTGGCGGCGGGCAGGCATTGCTGAAGTTGGGAGCAGGGCTGTGAGACAATGAAACTGCATGTGGCTAAAGCTCTGCTGCGCGCGGCGCCGAGCTGCGTGCCTCTCCCCCACGCCCTCGGTTTCTGGCTGTTCAGGCTGCCGGTGAGTCAGGCCCTGAAGCTCCTTTGTGACCATGTCCCAGCGCCTAAGGAGCGATGTTCGTTCCCCGCGTGAACAAGCAGTGTGGTTCGGCTGCTGTGTTTGCTGGGAGGGCGCGTCTGCTCGGAGCTTGGCGCCTGCTGCGTGCCAACTCCAGTCTGCCTGGCCGAAGCCTGGCTAAGGCTGCAGCTTGCCTCCTGGCGTCTTTGTCTTGGGCACACCTGATAGCAGGAACTCGGAGCCGTGGGTCCGGCCCTCTTCTCGCTGGCTGTGACTGTAGGCAAATCTTCCTGGTGCCTCCCTTTCTCCATCTGGAGAAGAGGCTGACACTTGCCTGCCTTTGTGTCTAAGACTGAAGCCTCACGGGTGCACTTGGATACGTCTGGTGCTTTTCTCGGCAGGCCTTGCGCTGCTCTGAACCCCTTCAGCGCTGCCCTGAGCAACACGGCCAGCTTCTGTTGCGTGTCGTTCAGCTTCTCCATTGTCCTTTCCCCAGGGCAGAACCGTGCTCTGCGAGTAGCGCTTTATCTTTACCTGTATGTGCTACTCGATTCACGGTGGTGAAGGCGGGTGGAAGACGTGCTCCTGGCACCAGAGCAGGAGCTGGGGAGGGCCCTGGTTCATGTCAGACGCTGGAAGCCGGGGCAGGGACAGAGCCTACCCTCACGCTGCAGCTGTCATTGTGTTAAGCCTCTGACATCTAAATGTCCCAGTGCTCCTGAGAGAGCGACTGCCCTGCCCAGAGTCACCAGGTGCAGTGGAGATGAGACCCAGGTGTCCTGTCTCCTCGTTCTTGTGTCCCTTGTCCTTGGACCAATATAATAGCCAGGCCTTGCCCAAAATGGATCTGCTCATCCTCCCCGGCTTCATCTCTTCAAGAATCAGTTTTGCACGTGCTTAGCCCATCATTTCCTTTTGCTGGCATTGGACCAACTTGCCGTCTCCAGGTTGTGCCAGAGCTGCTTGAATTCCTGTTGGGGAAGTTGTCTGATTTGCCTGATTACTAGAAAGTTATTTATAGCTCGGTGTGTCTGTATGCCAGGATGGGAGTGACGCATAGGAGTGACGTGCATTTTCCTTGGTTGACTTTCTGTTCCAGTTTTACCAGGTTGAAGACAATGTTCTTGGAATGGTTGTGGTCTGTATTCCTGGCAGTGCTTCTCCCTAGTGGGCTGAGTGTCCCCGGTCCCCTGGCAGAGCTCATCTCATTGAGCAGGGACCTTCTCAGTGTGCGTGTGCATGATTATTAGCCAAGAATTGTGATATCTGTATTTTGCAGTCAAGGGCCCTTGCAAGATTTGGTCTGGTCTTTAATGATGCAATGACTTAAAGCCCCTGGGGTTTGACTTTGACTGTAAAGAATAGTGGTAAGAGAGCACTTGCTTTCTTTGCATTTCAGATACTGCATTAACATTGCACAGGGGGCTGTTGATGTAAGGAGAGAAGGGCAGTTAAATGCACCCTGGGCGGTGGGCACCAACGTGCAATGAGTGAGGCTGTGCGAGTTGGCAGCAAAGCCAAGCTTTGACCTTGTATGTTCCAGATTTCAGCCTCATGGCTTTACTGACCCTGACATCCCCCTTTTCTCATGTGCTTGCTGTATGAGAAACTTCTGTGCTCAGTGTTTCAATCTCCCTTCTAGGAAATGAACAACCTGGAGGAAGGGGTGGAGTTCCTCCCCACCATGAATCCCAAGACAGTGGAGAAGCGTGGCCCAAAACGATGGGTGGTGGTCACCACTGTGCTCATTGCCATCCTTCTCGTCTCCCTCCTGGTTGGCCAGCTGGTTTGGCACTTCAAATGTGAGTGTAACACTTCCCATCCTAACACCAGAGGAAGACCACATGTCCTACATCAGGCCCCTACAGTACAGGTTCTCCCATGGCCCCCAATGCCTCCAAGTTTGGGAGTACTTAAATTATACTGATGAGCAAACGGCCTACAGCTTGCACCTAGTGGTACCTGGGGCTCCAGCCTAGAGTAGGGCTCTGTTGTACAATGCAGCGTGAGAGCTGACTTCTCCCCAGAGAGCTTGCAGTTTGAGCTGCTTTTGGGATCTGTATTCCTCTGTGAACAGAGTGGTTGTAGCTCATTGTAGCTGTCTCTGGGGCAGGGTGGTAGCAGCACCTGTGCAGAGGGAGGCTTTGTAGATGAGTCACCAGGTGGTGTGGGTGGGAAAAGGGTAAGACTGTCTGTGGTTAGAGCAGGAGGCTGGGGACGAAGATGCCTGGGTACTCTTCCCAGCTCTGCCGTTGGCCTTTTGTAAAACCTGCTCTGAAACCTGGGCCCGAACCAAGGATTTTGCTTAGGAGAGTGACATCAACTCAGCACTGGAGCTGAAGGGAAAGGAAGCAGGGAATGCCGTGCCCCTAGCTCCAGCTCTCAGGCTGCCATCAGCATGCAGGTCAGGGCCTAATCGCCACCTGACATCCTCTCTCTTTCTCCAATGGCATCTTCCAGATCGAAACGTGTCCGTCCAGAAGGTTTACAACGGCCACCTCCGGATTTTGAACTGGAACTTCCTCGATGCCTATGAGGACTCCAGCAGCCCCGAGTTCGCCATGCTCTCCAAGAAGGTGAAGAGCACGGTAAGGCACTGCCTCCTTCCTCTCGGGCTGCCCCAGGGCTGGGGGGAGGCTCCGTTGTCACTGCCACTGGGGTTATGTCTTCTACGTTGTGGTCCTTTGTCATTTTCTCCTGAGATCCTCAGTTTTATGCTGAAGTTCTGGTACCACCCACTGAGCTTGGTGAGCTGTTAGCTAAGCTCAGAAATGTGAAAAGGGCAATGAGTCTGTCTCTCTTAGGTGTTTACAGGATGCCCTCCCAAACCTCTGGTCCTTGCAAATGCCTCAAACAGCTGCCTTCATGCCCTGACTGCTTTTTAGAGCTCTAAATACAGACTCAAGGGCCTGCCTTGAAGCACCCATGCTCTGAAGCTTGTTAGCCTGACTGTGCCTTTAATATCCAAGCTCTTTGGGAATTGACCCATTCATGCTTTTTTTTTAAAGCTGCTTTTCTGCATATTTGAATGTGTTTCTATTACATTGCTTAGGTTGAGGAGATCTACAGGAGCAATGAAAATATTGGTCCTTATCACAAGGAGACACAAATAACTGCGTTCAGGTGGGTGCTGTACCCTGAGCCCATGGGTGGGTGCATGGGAACACAAGTTTGGTCCCCCTTGAAAGGAGGAGAAGGTAATAGTCGCTCTCCTGGGTTGTCACAGGGCACATTTATCTCGATAGCTGTACTTGGAAAAGTCACAGCTGTTGCTGCAGTAACCTTTTATTTTCTAATACTCAGAAAACCCCCAGTGAAACTCCCCTTTATTTTAGATCATGGAAAAGCAGTGAAAGAGAACACTGTAATCTAGAAGAGCGAGCACAGTGCACATGTCTCCTTCATCACATGCTACATGAGAATGGAAACACAATAGTAGCTTACTCTATCAGGCTTATGGAGCAGCAACAGACTTGCTCAGTGCTCTCTTGCCATCAACATTGCTCTTGTCTAAAGACTGTGGGTGTGGAGAGAGGCAGCAAGGTCTCCAGAGAGCTCAGTGTGGCAGAGACCTTCCCTGATGAGAGCTCCAGCTGTGCATGTTCAGCTTACTTGCTTAGCTGATCCAAGACCTCCTCTCCAGAGCTGGACTGATCAGTGGACCCACCGATCAGTTGAGGACAATGTCCTTGTTCTCCACCATTCTGCTGTTTGTTCTCCTTCCCATGGCCTGCACGTTGATACCATGTGTCCCCCTTTTTTCCTTGCAGTGAAGGCAGCGTCATTGCCTATTACTGGTCGGAGTTCATGGTTCCAAAAGACAAGGCAGAGGCACTGGATAGAGCCATGACTGACAAGCAGAGTCTGATGCAAATGTTGACCTTGAAATCGCGGAATCCGGTGCTAAAAGTGGAGTCAGTGGTTGCTTTCCGTGAGTCCCAGCATCCTTTGCTGTTTCGGTGTGGGGGCATGTGCAAGACGGAGATGACTTCTGCTTTGCAAGGGGCAAAGGTCCATGATTAGGCAAGCCCTGCAGGACCTTGGAGGGATGGTTTCTAGAGGCAGAGCACTACTGATCAGGGGGTGGCTGCCCTTGCTGTGTGGGAGACCTGACATGGTCTGTGTAGGAGCCGTGTTTTGGGAGAGTAACAGCCCTAAAGGGCTTTGGGGGTGAGGCCTGGGGAGGAAGCAGGACTTTGTTCCTTTGGCTTGGGAGGCTTTGTGTGGGAGAGAGGAGAATCTCTCAGCACCTGGGACACTGGAGGTTGTGAGGAGCACAGCCCTTAGACTTACCTGCTGGGTTAAGGCCCCAGGGATCCTTGGGTGGAGGCAGGGGGAGGCTGGGAAATCCCAGAGCTTTTTGTGCTGCTTTTCCAGAGCAGCGAGATCCTCCCTGAGGACGAGCGCTGGCACCTGCCAGCCTGCATGGGGGAGGTGGATCCAAATGGCACTCTGCTTTCCCACTTGCTCAGATGCATCGCGCATCCTGTCTGAACACAACGGGGGCTGCCCAGACCTCCCTCCTTGTCAGATAGCTCCTTACTGCACTCCTTGCTCGCTCCCATTCAGAAGTCTGCAAGCTTCTGAGCCCTCAGTCCGGTGCTCTGCGGGTCAGGCTGGCATGCTGGGGGAAGGGAGAAAGCCGTCCAGGCGGCAGCCTGCAGGGAGGATGTTGCAGGAGATAACCCTGTGGAATGAGGCCAGCCGGCAGCCCTCGGGCAGTGCGCAGGGCCTTACCTCATCGCTAATGAATGCATGTTTGTTTCTCTCGTAGCTGCCGATCCCAGTATCATCCAGGCTTCCCGGAATAGTGAGTATTGCTCCTCCAGCTTTGTTTATAGTGTGTCTTCCTGCAGTGGGGCATGGGGTGGATTCCTTATTTCCATTGAGAGCCCCTGCACATGGGAGTTTCCATCGAGTGGGGCAAGTGTCTGTAGGAGGCTGTTCCCTCTTGCAGGGAGGGAGGATTTGCTGCAAACTGAACATGTGCATGATCTTCACTGAAGCCCCAAGATCACCTGTGGGATCAGATGGGCCTGTCTCTCAGTGAAGTTTTCCCACATGTAGTGCAACTTTCCCAGGAAAGTGATAACAAGGAAGAGGAAAGGCCCTTCGGAGAGCACAACCTGTGCATCTCTGTAACAGTCCGCATGGTGGCTGAACTCTGCACACAGGGATAGGTCTGGGGAATTTAAAGGTGCAGAAAACCAAATGCAATCGCAATTTCTCTGCTCCGTACAGCACATCTGGGCTTATGCGGGGGCAGAACAGGGGATGATAGACGTTGCAAGCAGGCAGCATTGCAGTATATCTGCTTTCCCTTCTGTGGTGTGTTCTCTGACATCCAGCCCATCTCTGCCCCCACCACCCCTTCTGTCCCGTGCAGATAGTTGCGGTTTTTCTCTGCATGCCAAGGAAGGCGAGATCACCAGCTTTACCACACCAGGCTTCCCCAACAGCCCATATCCCAACAACGCTCGCTGCCAGTGGGTCCTGAGGGCTGACGCCGATTCCATTATCAGCCTGACTTTCAAGACATTTGATGTGGAGCCCTGCGGTGAAGGCAACGACTACATCAAGGTCTACAACTCCCTGAGCCCCGTGGAGCCCCATGCCCTTGTGACGTGAGTGCTGCTGCCTGGCTGAGTTCTTGCATTCTGATAATTTCTTTCAAGTGGGGAAATCGGTATCACATTCCTCTTCCTTATCTACAGGCCTCAGAGCAAAAGAAACACAAGGGAGGGAGAGCAGCTGTCCAGGCTGGTCCAGGGGGTTATTGCTAGGAGTAAAGCGATGATGTTGAGTGAAAGGAAAGCTGCCCTAAATATAGGGGAACCTGTAAGAGAGGGTGTTTTGTGGCTTCCAAAACAGTTCAGCAACCAAGAGGAAGAACTGACTCTGCCCAGGCCCCCACAGCAATGCCTGCTCCCTAGCTCGGGAAACACTGGAGCTGAAGTCAGCTGAAATCAGGTGATCCTCCCCCTCTATGTGGCACTGGTCAGGCCGCAGCTGGAGTACTGCGTCCAGTTCTGGGCGCCGCACTTTAAGAGGGATGTGGACAGCATGGAGAGGGTCCAGAGGAGGGCCACTCGTATGATCAAGGGACAGCAGGGTAGGTCCTATGAGGAAAGGTTGCGGGACCTGAACCTGTTCAGCCTTCAAAAGAGAAGGCTGAGGGGGGATCTTGTGG